GCAGGTAGGGGTGCGGGGCTGCCGGTGGGCGCGTGCGCCCCGCGCCGCGGTGCGTGCCGGGAGATGTAGTCCGCGCGGGGAGGGAGGGAGGGACGGGGCGCCATGACAGGGCCCTCCCCCCGGCCCTGCGCTCTGCCTGCCGCCCGGGCCTCGCACGGCCCTGAGAGAGGCTGGGCGGCCTCGTCTGTGGGTGTTACCCGCAGAGCGGGGCCCATCACCCCGTGTGCGAGAAGCCGACCCATGCACAGAGCCGAGATACGGGCTTTAATCTCCAGTTCCGCGCAGAAGAGGGAGCGGGGTGGTATTCCACAAAGGAAGCTCAGCTTCCTGAAACTCGAGTGCTGCTTTTATAGCCAAAAGCGTGAGGAAGAATCTTCTCTCACGTTACATTCTGCCCCTCGCACGCGTGTTGGGTCAGCTGATGCCTCGCTCCAATTACTCGGTGTATTCTCCTTAGTGCTCAAGGCCATAACCCAGATCAGCTGTGGGGAGTGCTCCTTTCCACCCCTGCGGTCTGTCTACCTGGTGTCCTGCAGGCCTGTTGCAGGGGCGGGTCTGTGGACTACTTAGGGCATGTTTTTCTCTAACTGGAATCTAGTTCTCTGTAATTCTTACTGTTTCACAGCTAATGAGTCTGTGTGTCTCTGTTGTTTTCTTTTTTTGTGATTTTTCCCCAAATGTAATTTTTCCCCCCCTACAATTTTACTTATTTCAGTTGATAACTGACATCATGGGGACTGTCAGTGTTGATGAAGAGTAAAGCAAGCTGGATCTTAGCAGGTCTCTGTGTTTTCCCATGTTCCAGTGCTCATCAGGGTGAGCATCCTCCAGTGAGCTTATTAGCACTCCTTATCCTACTCTTGGGGCTGTTGTTTATTCCTTAGCAGTCCTTCCTTTTCCCTTGTGGAGTGGGGCCTCCAGCAACTGCCTCAGCTGCCCCCAAGCACCTCTAATATGAGGAGACCGAGGAATGCTCACAATAAGGACTCCTTCAGTGCCTCTGTCAGGGAAGGTCAGTGTGAAAAGGAGCTAGTATTTGTGGAACAGCAGAAGATAGGCTTGATGCTCAGGAGGTGGGATGTTCCTATCATTTATCAATGTCCCGTACAGGGATTGCAGTTTGCAAAGTGAAGCACGCTGCGTGCCAATTCTCCAGTGTTAACAATTCCAGGTTTTTAAGTTGTGAAAACTTGACAAGTGATTAAATATAATATATTTATTTTATATGTTAATAAGATACTTGAAATACCTTATGTACACCTTCCCCCTTGCTTTCCTGAAAAACTGCCCTGGTTTTCATGTGCCAGTCATCTGTTTTATCTTACACATGTTCGACATTAGGTTGGGGAAAAGGACAGACGTGGGAAGCAATGCTTTAATGCAGTCTGTGCTTGAAAGGGAATGTGTTTGAAAACTATTGATTTGAGATGTTCAATACAAACAATTAAATAACCCCACTCACTGTGTTTATAACTTGACAAACACTGAAGTTAGTCTATCAGTAGCTGAATGTCCAGGCAAAAATAAGCTTATCATCTTTAGTTATATAACCAACCAGATTGCTTTTTTTTTTTTCCCCTGCAAAACTCAGTGTTGTAACTTTTTGTTCTACTGGTAATTAAAGTTTATACAATTGGAGAGGAGCCCCTGTATTGCAGTAAATAATGCCCATCTTCAGGTTCTTCTTAATGAAGTCAAGATGCAGTTGTTGACCCATTGGAAAATAATAATAAGCTTTTCTGTGTTTCAGTAGTTGGTCTTCAGAAGCGGCTGCTTCACTGATCACCAAGCATAAGAGAAATAAAAAGTACTCTTCCAAAACGCGTGTGGCAATGACTGAAAAATAAATAGGAAAGGTCAGTGTCAGGGTTGTAAGTAAAAGACCGTCTGTCAGGTTTTTTTGGAGACTTACGTGAACTCAGAGGATTATTTTCCAGAGAGTAGCCTTACTTAAATGGAAATACAATTTCGTAATTTCAGAGTCTAACCAGAAAAAGTTTGTCTTTTTCTAAAACTTACCTACAAGCCATTTCAAGATTTGCTTTCCTAACTATGTCTGTATAATTCCTAGAGTGGCATATGTTGCTGTATGACTATGAATAGGCATTTGAGGGACACAGGGATTTGCAGACTAAACTTATCTCTGTCTTGTAGATTCTTGCATTAACAGGTTTTTATGGCTGTTCTGTTTCAGCAGTCATTTTGCTGGCAGCAGGAAAACGTAACTGAAATAGTAGGAATGCAAACCAGTTCTGTTATTGACTATGCTAAACCAACAGAGATGTTAGATTAAGTTTGGTGTAATACAAATTTTATGGGTTACTTTGCTCTTACGATTATACAAAGAAGAATGTTGGTTTTGAGGAGATATGAAACCCTATAAACCTGTGTTTTGTGCTTTGAATTTAGAGGTCAGGCTAGTAAGAAGTGCAGTGTGGTTAGCACTGTTTGTTTGCTTTATATAGATTATAATGTTTGCTTTCACGAAAGCCCAGCTGGATTACCCAGGATAAAACTGATAGGCAAGAGTGTGGCAGCTGAGTACTTACACTCTCACAAAGAAAGTTTGATCTCTTTCCAAGGAGGCTGGCAATTGAAAAAAAAAAAAAAAGTTATTTGAATATTAAACTTCTAAAAATACTTTATATATTTTAAAGCTATGAACATATTATGAAATGCCATTGTCAATGTTTTAAGCAAAGCTGAGTAGAATTTCCACTTATTAGATTTATTTAATTTCAGCTTAATTTCCACTTAAAAACCCTTAATCTTAGTTGTACTGACTACTGCTTCCATTCCAATCCTATCACCTTCCAGGGTTTGATACCAAAGAAAAGCTGCAACTGTTGAGGAAATGTTTACAAATATGTAAGGGGTGAGTGTCAGGAAGATGGAGATAGGCTTTTCTCAGTGATGTCCAGTGATAGGACAAGGGGTAATGGCTGCAAATTGGAGCATAGGAAGTTCAAGGTGAATATCCAAAAAAAAAAATTTACTGTGAGAGTGACAGAGCACTGGAACAGACTGCCCAGGGAGGTTGTGGAGTCTCCTTCACTGGAGGCATTCAAAACCCACCTGGATGCGTTCCTGTGTGATGTACTCTAGGTGACCCTGCTCTGGCAGGGGGGTTGGACTAGATGATCTTTCGAGGTCCCTTCCAGCCCCTAAGATTCTATGATTCTATGAAATAGTTCTTCAGCATGGGGATTTAGCTACATTGAAGGCTTCTGTGAAGCCATTAGATATTCCTCATGTGTCCATTGGGAAGTCGGCTCACTGAAGCATGCCACATTATTCCAATGGTAAATTTTAACTAACAGGAGTGTTCCCTTGCCAGAAATAGCTGTAGAGATGAACTGGGAGGAGTTTGTACAACCTGACTCTGGGTATTTGATTTAACCAGCTAAATTAGCCAGCTAATCTGCCTGGGCTCCATCTGTAATAAAGTCATCCTCACACTGTAGTAGCTTTGGCGTGTGTCAAACTCTTTCCTGAGCTGATTTAACCCTGTAGCCCAGCAAAATGCTCTGTACTTAAATCAGCATCTATCAGGTTGAGGATGCACCAGACTAGAGCGTGGTAAAGAGCAGGAGTTTATGACTAGTAGGTGGTGATATTCTGATTTTGATGTTGGTGAGCTGAGCCTGGGATGCAGTTAATTTAGTAGATGAATAGTGAACTAAGCAAGATAAGCAGGA